GTAGGTACTTCCTAAGGCTGGGTTTGTACTGTGTGATTATCGACCATCGCTTGTCAGAAAAGAGTGGTGAGACAAATCTTTGTATTTTATTGGTGCTGGAAGTTCATGACTGGTTAGCCTTTAAATAATTTTATAATAGTAAGCTTATAGAGGTTGCAGTTCTTAACATGACCAGATATTACTGCATGTGAGTTGGCCTTAGCAACTCAGTATACTGCCCAAAACAGCCTTGGTTTACAAAGGGTAGACTACAGGCGACATTAGGAGTCAAAATATTCTGGATTCACTTAGTCTGGATTTCACTGGGCTGCAACTGTTGGTGACAAATATACAATCTCGAAGCATTGGGGAGAGCTCTCTATGTCCTCACGGTGTCGGCAGAAATTTTAAGTCAATGGAGAAGAGGAGTTTTTTACCCCACACTGGAGAAGAAGATACTGGATTTTGAGACAGTTTCTTTTGCAAGATTGAGGGTGGGATATTGCAAAACTACTTAAAACTGTCTTGTCTCTTGCTTAAGTGATATATTTGTTTTCTGCTAGGCTCAGTTTTATAGTCTGTTGTCTGTCCGTCATGGTGGGCATTTCTAAGATATTCAAAACCAAATACAGTTTTGTAGAATGTAACTGAAAGGAGTCTGGAACCCTGTTTGATGTCTTCTAGATGTATTTCCAAGGACCATGACAGCTTCAGGAGGCTTTGAAGACTAGATTGCTTATAAAATCATCCATCCATCCATCCATCTATCATCTAAACCCTTTCTTCCTCATTAGGGTTGTTAGTAGCCGATGTCTAACTCCAGCAATCATAGGGCTAGAGGCGGTGGACACACCCTGGACAGGTCCCCAGTCCATCACAGTCAAAAACAAGGAACTCACTCACTCACTCACCCACCCCTAGGGACAATTTAGAGTCTTCAATCAGTGTGACATACATGTTTACCATCTGTGGGAGGAAACCACAATACCAAAGGAAACCCTTGCATGCATGGGGAGACCATGCCAACTCTGGACAGAAAGGCCACACAGGTGGGATTTGAACCTGCAAGCTTTTGCTGCAAGGCCAAAGAGCTACCAACTGCACCACCATGCAGCCCCATATAAATTCAGTGTCAATAAAAATGCTGACAAATTGATACGTAATCAAAAAATAAAGTTGGACTAAATTGCAGCCCATACATTGGCACAGTCATTGTATTGTACACTACAGTATATCAGTGTGTTGCCAGCAGTCACAGCCCAGAGCGATAGCTGGTTCTCATCCTTTACATTAGTCAGAGCTCCATTTGGAGCCTGTATTTTTAAGCACGGCTGTTTATAATGATTTTTCCTTCATGAGCACAACTTGAACGGAGGACCTTTCTCCTTGACGAGTGTCTTAGAACGGACACGAAGAAATTCAATTATAAGCAGCCAAACAGAACAAACAAAACAGCAAAATGGGCTTCCACCGTGGACTGGAAAGGAATGAGCCAAAACATTGCTCCCTCGTACGAAGGCCATTATAGATAACAAGCATGAAGTTTAATGGACTGTAATGCCAGGAGGCATCCAGAGTCACCACCACTCCCGAGGCAGCCAGTCATACAAGGACAGCTATGCATTTCAATAGAGACAGACCTTCACGGCTCAGCGCTCATTCAAACACCGAGGCAATGAGATTCTGAAACTGATGGTTTGAATTTATGTTTTATGACCCAAACTCTTTAGATGAAAAGCATGTTTTTGTGCTTCAGCACTTGTTGACTATCGAGCTGTAAATCTGTCGCAATAGCAACAGTTTTCCAGATTCCAGAGCATTTACCAAGGTCCGCATGTAAAGAAAATACTTCTCAAAGGTGCCTGATAGCAGGAAGAATGTACAAGTTTTATTAAAACTGCTAGATTTATGTCTGGATTTAACTCTTGAACCAGCAGGTAGCATGCATTAAAGTCTGAATATTTTAATATAACGGGCACTGAAAATCGCTGAAAAAATAAACTACCAAAATCTACTTTTTTGCATGAATATTATTAATAGAAATTTTATGATTTTTTAATTATTTTAACCTCCCATATATCACAACCCTTGCAGCTCCTAACATTTAGCTCACATTTGGAGCAATATTAAGTTTCATATGTTTAAGACAGACTTAGAAATCAGTTTATGCTTCTTTAATTCATTATTTCATAACTTGTTTTTTTATTTTGGTGTTTTTATTTCATTCTTTAAGTCACATGCATTTGCATAAAACCTTATATTTTTATTTATTAAATGATTTAACAAATTTTTATAAATAAATATTTTGATGACTGCTTTTTGTTCTGCTTGATTAAAATATATTAAAGTAATGCTACTTTCTTTTGATCATAGGAAAGAATAGAAAACATGACAATATTAGAATGTCTTTTTTTAACTTTGAACTTCATCTGAATGCATTTTCAAATTACAGGTGCTGGCCAGTAAATTAGAATATCATCAAAAGGTTGAAAATATTTCAGTAATTCCATTCAAAACGTGAAACTTGTACATTATATTCATGCAATGCACACAGACCAATGTATTTCCAATGTTCATTACATTTAAATTTGATATTCATAAGTGACAACTAATGAAAACTCCAAATTTGGTATCTCAAAAAATTAGAATATTCTGAAAAGGCTGAATATAGAAGACACCTGCTGCCACTCTAATCAGCTGATTTACTCAAAACACCTGCAAAGGCCTTTAAAAGGTCCCTCAGTCTTGTTTTGAAGGCACCACAATCATGGGGAAGACTTCTGACTTAACAGCTGTCCAAAAGACAATCATTGACACCTTGCACAAGGAGGGCAAGACACAAAAGGTGATTGCTAAAGAAGCTGGCTGTTCGCAGAGCTCTGTGTCCAAGCACATTAACAGACAGGCGAAGGGACGGAAAAAATGTGGTAGAAAAAAGTGTACAAGCTCTAGGGATAACCGCACCCTGCAGAGAATTGTGACGACAAACCCATTCAAAAATGTGGGGGAGATCCACAAAGAGTGGACTGCAGCTGGAGTCAGCGCTTCAAGAACCACCACGAGGAGACTCATGAAAGACATGGGATTCAGGTGTCGCATTCCGTGTGTCAAGCCACTCTTGAACAAGAAACAGCGCAAGAAGCGTCTCGCCTGGGCCAAGGACAAAAAGGACTGGACTGATGCTGAGTGGTCCAAAGTTATGTTTTCTGATGAAAGCAAGTTCTGCATTTCCTTTGGAAATCAAGGACCCAGAGTCTGGAGGAAGAGCGGAGAAGCACAGAATCCACGTTGCATGAGGTCCAGTGTAAAGTTTCCACCGTCAGTGATGGTGTGGGGTGCCATGTCATCTGCCGGTGTTGGCCCACTCTGTTTCCTGAGGTCCAGGGTCAATGCAGCCGTCTACCAGGAAGTTTTAGAGCACTTCATGCTTCCTGCTGCTGACCAACTTTATGGGGATGCAGACTTCACCTTTCAACAGGACTTGGCACCTGCACACAGTGCCAAAACCACCAGCACCTGGTTCAAGGACCATGGTATCCCTGTCCTTGATTGGCCAGCAAACTCGCCTGACCTTAACCCCATAGAAAATCTATGGGGTATTGTGAAGCGGAGGATGCAATACGCTAGACCCAACAATGCAGAGGAGCTGAAGACGACTATCAGAGCAACCTGGGCTCTCATAACACCTGAGCAGTGCCACAGACTGATCGAGTCCATGCCACGCCGCATTACTGCAGTTATTGAGGCAAAAGGAGCCCCGACTAAGTATTGAGTGCTATACATGCACATTCTTTTCATGTTCATTCTTTTCAGTTGGCCAACATTAGAGAAACAAACATTTTTTCATTGGCCTTTAGAATATTCTAATTGTCTGAGATACCAGATTTGATGTTTTCATTGGTTGTCACCTATAAATATCAAAATTAAACGTAATAAACATCGGAAATACATTGGTCTGTGTGCATTGCATGAATATAATGTACAAGTTTCACGTTTTGAATGGAATTACTGGAATATTTTCAACCTTTTGATGATATTCTAATTTACTGGCCAGCACCTGTAAATTTGTTAAGCAATGCCCCAGAAGCACAGTACCTTTCATGCTGCAGTGTGCACTAATCTGTAAATGATGGTCTGTGTCCCCATTACTAAATGCTCGAGTTCTAATTTAGTCCATACATCCATCCATTTTCATCCGCTTATCCGGAGTCGGGCCGCGGGGGCATAAGGCAAGAGGCCCAGACTTCCCTCTCCCCAGCCACTTGGGCCAGCTCCTCCAGGGAAATCCCAAGGCGTTCCCTGGCCAGGTGAGAGACATAGTCCCTCCACCGTGTCCTGGGTCTACCTTTAGGTCTCCTCACAGTTGGATGTGCCCAGAAAACCTCACCAGGGAGGCGCCCCGGAGGCATCCTGACCAGATGCCCGAGCCACCTCAACTGGCTCCTCTTGATGTGGAGGAGCAACGGGTCTACTCCGAGCCCCTCACTAATGACCGAGCTTCTCAACCTATCTCTAAGGGAGAGCCAAGCCACTCTTCGGAGAAAACTAATTTCGGCCGCTTGTATCCATGATCTCGTTCTTTCGGTCACCACCCAAAGCTTATGGCCATAGGTGAGGGTAGGAACGTAGATTGACCGGTAAATCAAGAGCTTCACCTTCTGACTCAGCTCTCTCTTCACCACAACAGACCGGTACAACGCCCGCATCACTGCAGATGCAGCACCAATCCGCCTATCGATCTCACACTCCAGTTTTCCCTCACTTGTGAACAAGACCCCGAGATACTTAAACTCCTCCACTTGGGGCAGGACCTCATCCCTGACCCGGAGAAGGCATTCTACCCTTTTCCGAATCAAGACCATGGCTTCAGATTTAGAGGAGCTGATTCTCATCCCAGCTGCTTCACACTCGGCTGCGAACCGCTCCAGCGAAAGCTGGAGATCACGTTCTGATGAAGCCAACAGGACCACATCATCTGCAAAAAGCAGAGACCTGATCCACAGGCCACCAAAGCGGATGCC